GCCTGAGATGGTCTCTCTCAGTTCTGGGTGGAGAGGTTCCAAAAAGGTGGTGCAGCTCTGGAGAGCAGGGGAGCCAGGACAGCTCTTGGCTTCCAGGGATGGGGTGGGCTCTGAAGTGGAGGAGCTGGGGGAGCTGCAGGGATGGAGGCCAAGACACTGGTGGGTGGTGGTCTGGGATGTGTCTGGTGTCCCCATGTGTGGTGGGACAGGTTTGGGGGTGCCACACTGAACCTACATTTCCCCTCAGGGGACCCCAGTGCCACGGGGCAGCCACTGGTGCTCAGCCCCAGCTCTGCCATCCATCTGGAAGCCAGTGTCCACTTCAGTCCCAGCTTCTCCATGAAGATCCATGTGGACCAGTGCTATGGGACCATCGTGGAGCAGCCAGGCCCCTCCAGGAGGGTCTTCATGGTGGTGAACAGCCAGGGGTCAGTGCTGGTGGGCTGGGAAGTAGGGACCCCTTCTCCAGGCACCCTGTGGTCCTGCAGAGCTTCCTGATGGAGGGGCTGTCCAGGGCCTGGAGGCAGCCTGGGAATGTCCCTGTGTTGTTCTCCTGCCACAGGTGCCTGCATGGGGAGAAGGTGGGGAGTGTGTCTGTCCAGCACTGGAGAGGGGGGTCTGCCCTCCAACTCTCCATCCTGCCCCCCACACTGGATGGTGAGCCTGAGGAGGAGGAGGAGGTGAGGTCAGGGAGATGCCCTTGATGGTGGGAGGGTCCCTTGGAGGGGGGATGACCTAGGGGTGCCAAAGCACTGTCCCTGCTGAGGCATCCCACTCCCTGCAGGGTGGCCTCAGCCCCAGGAGGTTGGGTGGGAGAGAGGAAGGAAGGACATGGTGGGATGGAGGTCCCATTGAGAGGGATGTGTGGGGGTCCCAAAGCTCTGTCCCTCCTGGGGCATCCAGCTCCCTGCTGCGGTGGTCTCAGTCCCCCGGGGTGGGAGGGGAGGAGAGCAGGGTCTCCAAGGAAGGATGCAGCAGGGGGGTTTTCTGGCAGGTGTATGTGCACTGCCTGCTGACAGCGTGGGGACAAGGACACGCCACCAGGTCCTGCTTCTACAGCCACACCACGGCCAGGTACGCTGGGTGCTGGTGCCCTGGGACACGAACACTCGAGGGTGTGTTGGGAGCAGAACCCACTGTTCATGGGGACCCACCCGGGCGGAACCAGGTCACTCCAGTGCGGGCTGGATGATACCTCCAATGGCAGCTGATGGTGTCACCACAGGTCAAGCACCCTCAGGGTGCAGATGAACTGGGGAGGTGTTTGGAGTCACCTGGAGGACACTTCCTCTGGGGTGGCACCACGTGGGTCTTGTGCTGGAGTTATGGGGGCCCCTAGACCCACTCCCCCAGCTCTGTCCTCTCCTCTCCCAGCTGGCTCAATGCAGAGGACCCTTCCCAGAGTGCCCAGTGCCGCTGCTGTGACACCAGCTGTCCCCGTGGTGACACCCTCCCAGGACACCTGCCAGGTACTGGGCATGGGATATGGTGACCCCACATTGTTCTGGGGTCTTGTGAGGAGCTCCTGGGCCTCAGGTGGGCTGTATTGGCCATGTCCTACCACAGCATTCCCAGGTGAGGGGACGCTCCACTGGGAGACAGTTGGACCAGTGCTGGTGCAGAAGAAGGTGACGTGGTACGAAGGTGAGGGACACCCCAACTCTCTCCCATGTCCCCAAACCTCCCTCCCCAAGTGCTGGACCACCCAGCGACCCCCCTCTGGTGTGTTTTTTGCTGTCCCCAGGGCCATGCCACACCATGAAGAGGTTCCTGCTGGCTGGGCTGGCCCTGGTGGGCAGTGCTGTGGTGGTGGTTGCCTCAGTGGGGGGGCTGCTGGCGCTGGCCCTGACCAGCTGGCACCAGGGCACGCAGAGGCGGGGACGGCGACCACCGAGGCAGAGGAGTCCCTTCCAGGCTGAGCTGCAGAGCGTGGTGGGGGCCCTGGTCCTCAGGGAGACAGGGAAACGGGGCGAGGTGGGACCAGACCCCCTCTCTCCACAATAAATGTGGCTTTGTTTTCTCTACAGCCTCTCCTGGTGGTGGCGTGTGGATGCCACTATGGGATGGGTACCTGGAGATGTGACTTCCAGGCATGGTGGCACAGTCCCAGGCTGTGGTGCTGGAGCTGGGGGGACTTTGGGTCCCTGGAGACCATGGACATGGCGGCAGCTCCTCGGGGTGACAGTCTGCAGGATGTCCCGGGAGGCCATAGAGAGATGGAGTGGCTCCGTTGGGGGGGCCACCAGGGCTGCTCTGGGCAGGTGGAGACCCCCCATCTCAGGGTGGAGACCTCCAAGAGGGGTTGGGTCCCAACCAGACTCACGTGTCTACCCAGGAGGGGATGTGGATCCGGCCCAGCTGTGGTGGCACCTGAGCATCACCCAGCAGGGCTCACATTTGAAATGGTTTATTAGGACCAGTGTGGGGCAGCGTGGCCGCTCTGGTGTCGTCACCGGAGCGAGGGGTCACAGTAGGTGGGTCACAGCAGTGCCTTGGTTTCCCCAGCGTGTGCAGGGCTGGAGGAGCTCAGTGGGGTGTCGGGGGCTCTCCTGGTGTCCCGTAGAGCTTGCGGAGGCTGGAATCCATCAGGAAATCCACAGTCCTGCGGCAGGAGAGGGGATGGGGGGTCTCAGGGGGTTCTCTGCAGTACTGGATGTGAGGGGGGGATGGGTTGGGCTGTCCCTAATGACCCCAAGACACCAGCCCCACCAAAACAAGGCTTAGCACAGCTTCAGTGTGCTAATCCCAGCTCAGCTCTGGATAATCCCCATCCTGACAGGGACATGTCCTCGCTAGACCCCAGCAAAGCCCCTCTGGGGTGGAGACACCCCTCCCCCCAGCCCCCAACACCCCATGCTCCCAGCCCCAAGCCCACACTGGGATGAGTCACATTCCATCCCTTGGATGCAGGGATGGGGTGGTGGCACCCGCTCCCCCCCCCGCCCGTTACCTGTCGATGGGGGTGATGATGAGGGGGATGGCCGCCAGCCCCAGGGCGGTGGTGGTCCAGCGGCGCAGGGGCAGGGGCCAGCGGGTCAGGGTCCCCAGCAGGGCCAGTGAGGCAGCGCAGAGCCGGTTGATGGTGAAGCCGGGGATGGCCACCGAGGCCAGGCCCTGCCACACGAAGGTGTCCACCACGGCCACCCCCACCCGCGTGGGGTCCTGTGTGTGGGCCTGGGGGGACAGGGGGGTCAATGGGATGGGTGAGGGTGGGGGGTGGTGGGTAGGTGGGTGGGGACGGGGTGGCACTCACGGTGGCCGCTCTCCGGCCCTTGTCGATGGCGTCGGCGGTCACGTAGGCGGTGGCCACGCCGTAGCTGGCCCACACCACCGGCACCGGCACCAGTGCACGGAACGACTCGCCCACCTCGTTGGCGTAACCTGGGGGGCGCAGGGGGGTCAGCGCAGACAGGGACAGGCTGTGTACCCGTGCCACTGCCCCAGAGCGTCCCTGTGTTCTCCCTGGGTGTCCCTGTGTCACTGGGAGCAGGGGTGGACCCTGCATGGGGGGGTTTGGAGCAGCTGGGTCTCCTTGGACCCCACTGCCACCGGACAACAGGGCTGGGGGTGACCAGTGACAGTGCCCAGAGCCCAGTGCCAGTACCGGTGTCTGTGACTGGTGCCCAGTGGCAGTACTGGTGTGTGTGACTGGTGCCCAGTGCCAGTGCCCAGTGGCAGTACTGGTGTGTGTGACTGGTGCCCACTGCTGGTATCACTGTCTACGACCAGTGCCCAGTGATGGTAACTGGGTTCTGGTCCCCAGTGTCTGTGGGTGGTGCTGGTGGATGGTCCCACTGCCCAGTACAGGTGCTGGTGCCCAGTACGAGTGACAGTGATGGGTATCTGGTGCCGGTGCCAGGTTGTGGTGCTGCTCAGCCGTGCTGGTACCCAGCATGCAGGGCCAGGGTGTGGTGCTGATAGCTGGTACCTGGGGGTCAGTGCTGAGGTCAGTGCCCCGTGCAGTGCCCGGTACAAGGTGCTGGGCATCAGTGCCCAGTTTCTGGTGTGGTGCCCGGTGCTGGTACTCAACACAGTGCCCGGTACCTGGTGTGGTGCCTGGTACTTATGCTGCACATCTGTCAGTGCCCTGCACTGTGCCCAGTAACCAGCATCAGTGCCTGCTTCCTGCTGTCAGTGCCCAACACCTCATGTCAGCACCCAGTGAGAGTGCCCAGTACCAGGACCCCATACTCACTGTCAGTGTCCCCTGCCCCCTGTGCTGGCACCCGATGTCAGGGCCTGCTGCTGGTGCCCTGTGACAGCACCCTGTGCTCAATGGCAGCAGCCGGTACTGGTTCCCGCTGTTGTGCTCAGTGCTGGTGTTGGGTATCAGCGTCCTGTTTCCCGTGCCAGTGCCTGCTTCCCAGTGCTGGTACCCGGTGCCAGTGCACAGAGTCAGTGCTCAGTTCCGGCATTCCTGCAGCTCCTGGTGCTGGTACCCAGTCCCAGTCCGAAGCTCCCGGTGTCAGTGCCTGTTTCCCTGTGCCAGTGCCCGGTGCCGGCACCCAGTTCCCGATGTCAGTGTTCAATGTCAGTGCCCCGTTCCCAGTGTCAGTGCCCGGTGTCAGGGCCCCGCTCCCGGTGTCACACTCAATGTCAGTGCCCAGTTGCCGGTGTCAGTGCCCGGTGTCAGTGCCCCGCTCCCGGTGTCACACTCAATGTCAGTGCCCCGTTCCCGGTGTCACACCCAATGTCAGTGCCCTGTTCCCGGCGTTCCCGCAGTTGCCGGTGCCCGGTGTCCCCCCGTGCCCGTGGGTGTCCCGCAGCTCACCCAGGTATCGGACCCACGTGTCCCGGTACACGTCCTGCTCCGCCGCCCCCATGGCGCGCGCCGCTCCCGCCGCATGCCCCGCCCCCTCCGCGCCCCCGCCCCGTGACGTCACTAAAACACCACCACCCCTGAAACGTCGTCAAGCCCCGCCCCGTTGTGCCGCGAGATGGCGATGGGGCGGGGTCTGATGCTCACGTGACCGGCAGTCACGTGGATGGGGACACAAGGGTAGTTATAGGGTTGGGGGGCAGTTATAGGGTTGGGGGCAGCTGGGGAAGTTACGGGGTTGGGGGCAGTTATAGGGTTGGGGCAGCACTTCCAGGGGGCAGTTCTGGGCCTGGGAGGCGGCAGCAGCAGTTATGGGTTTAGGGGGCAGTTCTCGGGCTGGGCGGTTAGTTATGGGACCGAGGTGGGGCAGCAGGGTCAGTTGTAGGTTTGGTAATGGGGCTTTGGGGAAGTTCTGGTGCAGGTGGGCAGCAGGGGCAGATCTGGGGCTGTTGTGAGACTAGAGTGGCAGATTTGGGGATGGGGCGGCAGTTCTGGGCCCGAGGGCCACAAACCGGAGCAGACCCCTCTCAGTCCTTCCCTTTACTCCCCACCCCAGGCAGCAGCAGGAGTAAGTGGGCGTAGGACCCACATAAGGCACAGAGATTGGGGGGGGGGGTGCTGCGGGCGCTCGGCCCCCTCCGGTCCCGCTCAGCCCCCGCCTCAGTCCGTCAGCCCTGGGGCTCAGCCCCGGCTCCGTCCTCCTCCGAGGGGGCTCCCGGCCATCCTGGGGGCCCGGTGTGGGGGTCTATGGGCTATGGTTCAGGGACACCTCGCCCAGCCGGTCCCCCAGCTGCTGGATCTGCTGTGCCGAGGCGGTGTCGGGCAGCAGCACCTCCACGGTGTAGCTCACCTTCTTGGAGTGGAGGAAGCTGTACGTGTTGTCGAACCGCAGCACGTCTGGGGGAGGGACGGGACAGGGGGTCAGGGACACGGGGGGAGCACCCCGGGGGTCAGGGACACGGGGGCAGCACCCCGGGAATCCCCCCAGCACCTCGGCGGTCAGGGACACAGGGGAAGGACCCCCGAGGGTCAGGGACACGGTGGGAGCACCCCCGGGACAGGGGTCACTCACAGATGCCGGGCGTGGAGCAGGTGAGGGAGCCGTCCTCAGGCACCATGTGGGCGTTGTAGCGCTGGCTGGGGAGCACCTCGGTCATGTCGCCCGCCCGCTGCCGCTCCCCGATCTTGGTCTTCATGTACACCCCGAAACCCACGTCGGCGCCCTCTGAGCGGAACTGCCACCTGCGCCGGGCACGGAGGGGCCTGCGGTGGGCTGGGGGCACCACGGGCTGTCACCCCCTCCCCGCCCCGCAGCGCGGAGCCCCGCTCACCTGAGCACGCAGCCGGGGAAGAGGATCTCGTACTCCACCTGGTGGGACGACCCCCGGTTGACGACCACCGAGTGCTCGTACTGCTGCGCCACCTGGTCCCGCACGTAGTAGCTCTTCGGCACGTCCCCCCCGTAGTTGATCTGGCAGGGGAGGGAGGATGTGGGCATGGGGGAACCACCTGGCAGCCCTAAGTAATCCAGCGGGAGCCTCTCCTACCTTGCTGGAGCACTTGGGGTCCCCGTCAGGGTCCGTCATGGTGCCCCCGTACTCCACCGGGATCTGATCAGGGTCGATGTACTTCTGCAGGACCTCCTTCCAGTTGGCTGGGGGGATGACAGTGGGTTTGGGGGGCCTGTGAGCCCCAGCCCAGCTGGGGGGCCCCCCGGGGTTGGGGTATCCCCCTGGGCGAGATGACAGCAGTGTCACCCCTGTTTTGGACGCTCTGGGGAGGGTCAGGACTCACATCCCAGCACCACGACCTTCTTGCGCGTGTCCTCGCTCAGGAAGTGCTTGACCAGGTTGTAGGCCACGGGGAAGATCTTGGGGGCTGGGGGGCGGTGAGGGGTGTTAGGGGGGTGTCAGCACCCAGACAGGGGGGGAGCAGGGCCCCGGGGCTGAACTCACCCTTCACAATAAACAGGCGCTTGAGGGACTCCGGGAAGTTCTCCTCGAACATGGACAGGAGCTGCAGGATGGGGGGGAGCTCAGGTCACCCATCCCTTGGAGCCACCAGGACCCCCACCCCAAAATGTTGGGGGCTGCAGAGCACTGCAGGGACCTGCTCCTGCATCATCCCCAGGGCCAGGGGTCAGCGTGGATCCCTGTGGTCCCCGGGGCAGTGGGATGGGCAGGAGCCCCTCACCTCCCCGTACGCCTCCACAGCTGGTTTCCAGAGGTGCTTCAGGCCCAGGCCCTCGCAGTCGTAGATCATCATCACCATCTCCACCTTCTTGCCCAGCTGGGGCAGGAGGATGGGGGGGATTAGGCAAGGGGGTTCAGGGATGGGGTGGTCCCTGATAGGCTGGTCCCCTCCAGCCAGAGCCTCCTCCCAAGTGTTGGTGTGTGGAGAAGGGGCATCACGGGAGCTGGGGGTCCCAGCTGGGACAGGGACATGGGCTGGGAGTCAGGAGCTGGTGGAGATGGATAGGATGTGGACATATGGGGCTGGGAAGAACATTGGGTTGTGGGCATGGACCAGAGATGGACATATGAGGTTGGCAGGGACATGGTCCATGGTGGGGTGGACAGGACATGGACTTGTGGGGCTGAGGGGGATGGAATGACCTACAGGGCTGGTGAGTGAGGACACTGGCTGGTAGGGATGGACCAGAGATAGATGTATAAGGACACTGAGTTTTGGGGATGGACATGGACCCACAGGACCTATAGGGCTGTGGAGGATAATGGCTGGAAGGGTTTGACAGGATGTGAACTCGTGGAGATGTGGAGGACATTGAGTGGTGGAGATGGACAGGACATGGGCTGGCAGGGACACAGGCTGAGGGGGATGGACAGGACATGGTTATACAGGATATATAGAGCTGTGAAGGACATTGGGTGGTAGGGATGGACCAGAGATGGACATGTGGGTCTGGGGAGGACATTGGGTGATGGCAATGGCCCAGATGTAGATTTGTGAGGCTGGCAGGAACATAAACTGAGGGGAATGGGCAGGGGATCCTGGATCTATAGGATCTATAGGATCTCTAGCTCCCTATAGGGCTAGGAAGGACATTGGATGGGGGAGATGGACAGAACACAGACTTGTGGGGCTGACAGGGATGTGGACTGATAGGTATGGACAGGACATGGACTTATAGGGCTGGTGGCCGAGGACATTGTCTGGTAGGGATGGACCAGAGAGGGATGTATGGGTCTGAGGAGGACACTGGGCAGTGGAAACGGACAGGACATGGATTTGTGGGGCTGGGGAGGATGATGGCTGATGGGGATGGACCAGAGATGGACAAATGGGGCTGGGGAGGTTATTGGGTGGTAGGGATGACCAGACGTGGACATATGGATCTGGCAGGGCCACAGGCTGGGGGATAGGATATGGACCTGTAGCGCTGGGGAGGATGCTGGCTGGGAGGGACGGACCAGATGTGGACTAGCGGGGCTGGCAGGGCCATGGTCCCGTGGGACTGGTGGGCACAGGGCCTTTGTGGCCAGCAGGGTGTGGGCAGGTGCCCACCTTTTGGGTCTGCTGCTCGCACTCATGCCGCAGCACCTCGCAGTCCCGGAACTTGTTCTTGAGCAGGTCCTGCTTGGAGGCGGAGAACAGCAGCCCCTTGGCGTCCAGCGGCCCGATGATCTCGTACCACACCGGGCTGCCCTCGCGGTCGTAGCCGCACAGCCCCCCGGACATGTACTTGCGGATCACCTGCGGGAGCACAGGGGGCTCAGGGCGCTGCACACGCCTGAGGGGGCTCAGGGGGACAGTCCCCTCTAGGGCCACCCCCCGGGGGCCGGGGACACCCACCTCAGGTGCCTCCCAGGCGATGATGTTGTCGGCGTCCATGCGCTTGCGGACCTCGAGGTGCTGGGAGGGGGCAGAGTGAGCTGGGGTGAGGTTTGTGGACCCCATGGGACAGGGTGCACCCCATGGGCATGTCACCCTTGGGAGAGGGGGCTGGGCTGATGGCCCGGGGTGCACTGTCCCATGCCGGCTATGTCTCATGCCAGGGGACAGCCTGAGGACACCCCAAAAGCGGGGTGCCCCTCTCACCTTGCGGAGCATCGCCTCTGCCTTGGGCAGGTCGAAGCAGCGTGCTGCGAGAGAGCAGAGAGCTCAGAGACCAGCCCCCCAGCAGCCCCCTGGGGGTCTCCCAGCCCTCCTAGGGATGCCCCACACTTTGGGCTTACCTCGGAGCCATTTCAGCAGGAAATAGTCGTCCTGAGCGGGCAGGGAGGGCAGCACGTCCTGCAGCTTCTCCCGGAACTGCGGGGACAAGAGGGACAGTTGGCGAAGGGGTCCCCGATTCCTCCCCCAAAACCCCAAGGCTGGAGGTTTGTCCCCTCCTTGTCGCCCCAAAAACCCCTCAGCCAAGACTGGGACATTCCCAGAGAAGGGTCACGCCGTGCCCTGTCCCTGCTGCCACGTGCAGCTGGGATCACCGGTCACCTCCTGGCAGGGGGCTGTCCCCAGCCGGCCACCAGCACCGTGGTCCCCAGGCACCGGGTGTCCCCACAGCCTTGCGCAAGGCTGTGTGGGCTGTCACCACCCCCCTGGGGCCAGGCCGACCAGTCCCCTCCAGTGCCATCCTTTGGGACGGAGCCAGTCGC